ACATAAATCGCTTAGCGTTTTACTAGATCCTCGCTTAAGGGGAGTAAAAACAACACCATTTTATTTCAGAAAAATAAAAAGTATGAATAACACGTATAGAAAGTCTATAAGTTGCCTTTATGAATATTTTCTGTTATCATATGGGTGGTACAAAGAAGATACATTAACAGATATGCATTGTTCAAATATATAAGAGGACTGAAGGCCAGAATGTATATGACGAACTAACTCAGTAAATAAACAGATATGTATTGTTAAAATATATAACATGACAATGAAGGTCAAACTGTATACGAGTATAATGAACTAACAGTAAATAAACAGATAAGCATTGTTCAAATTTATAACAGGACAATGAAGGTCAGACTGTATATAATGAACTAAACCAGTAAATTAACAGATATGCATTGTTCAAATATATAACAGGACCATGAAGGTCAGACTGTATATTATATAATGAACGAAACCGATAAATAAACATATGAATTGTTCAAATATATAACAGGACAATGAAGGTCAAACTGTATATAATGAACTAACCCAGTAAATAAATAGATATGGAACAGATATGCATTGTTCAAATATATAACAGGACAATGAAGGTCAGACTGTATATAATAAACTAACTTAGTAAATAAACAGAATCAGATATGCATTGTTCAAATATATAACAGGACCATAAAGGACAGGCTGTGTATAATGAACTAAACCAGTAAATAAACATAAACATTGTTCTAATATATAACGGGATAATGAAGGTCTGACTGTATATAAACAGATATGACACAGATATGCATTGTTCAAATATATAACACGACCATAAAGGTCAGATTGTATATAATGAACTAAACCAGTAAATAAACAGATATGCATTGTTCAAATATATAACGGGACAATAAAGGTCAGACCGTGTATAAACAGATATGCATTGTTCAAATAAAAAATTGGACAATAAAGGTAAGACTGTATTTATCATAATAAACAAACCTAGTAAATAAAAAGATTGTTTAAATATATAACAGGTCAATGAAGGCCAGATAACGGTATATAATGAAAATAAACTACATTGTAAACTGACTGAGATACGAAGAAGGTATCTCATATAATTACAAATTAACTGTGTCTAACCATATATCGGAGACAACCTGTATAATGTATTTTTTAATGTATGGGTAAAAATAAACTTAAATAAGTAGTTAAAAGATGTATTGTTCGAATATTATATAATAGGGTGATAAAAACCAATCTGTATAACAACGAACCAACCCAAAAAATAACTAAAATATTATTAATATTTCGAATTAAATGGACAGCTTTCAATTCCAATTTCTTTATTCGTTTCGATAACGTATAGAGAAAGAATAACATTCCAATATAAACCATAAACAATAAAAAAAAAAGTAAACGGCTATCAATTTAAAGCACTTTCTTGAACAACCAACATAAATATCTTCTAACCTTTTTTTTTAACTTTAATCTTAATCATTTTTTCACCAACATTTCTTTTTTCCATTTTAACAAAATTCACTTTTATAAATTTAATATCGAAGTGTTCACTCACACACTAAAAAGCGTAATGAAGTATGGGTGATGTGATGGGACAGGAAATCGTTTTGTTTCCTTTAAAAATAGTGTACGCTTGCATAAAATTAAGCAACTACATGTGTGTTCTATTAGGACCTGACTAGAAAGTATAATAAATATTCACTTTCAAAAGTCTTTCATAGCATTATTCAAAAATAAAATATATAGGTATGTATCTTAATAATTATTTTCTGACGATAAGAGCAACTTATTTACAATTTGTCTTATTTTGGTGTAAGGTTTTAATTAATATTTAATAGAAGGGTTTCAAACTTAAATAAAACTAATCCAATATTTGGAAGACTTTTGAAAGTGATTGTAAATGTTTTAAATTAACTTTGGATTGAAGACATTTAAGATAGTTTTATGAATTAACTAAGCATTTTAAAATCATTGTAGCATAAATGTAACTGAAATTAGGGTATTTCTAAGATACATTTAAATTATAAGGAATTTTAATTAGTTAATTACAATAAAAGTTTAGGAGAGTATTATGAATTTTTAAAATGATTATGGTTTAATTTTAACTGAAATTGGGGAATTCAATTAAATTTGGGTTGTATAATAATTTTGATTTAAATTTAATTAAAATTGTGGATTTCTAATTTAAATTTTAAAATAATTGTGGTTTCAATTTAACTAAAGAGGGGGATTTTAAGTTAAATTTAAATTGTAAAATTTTGTGAATTAGACAGGTACTCTAAAATGATTGTGGTTTAAATTTAACAAAATTACCACTGAAAATGTTGAAGAAGTTAAATTAGAGCGAATATGGAATGTAAAGTTTTAGATACATGATCCTTTTTGTAATATAAGTTGAATATATATCTCAAAATTTAAATATATTAAATTAGAGGTACTTTTTAAAATATTTTCTCGAAGAGTTTGAAAATTGGTAAAGGGCAGATCAATACAAAATAAAATTTGATATTAATATATATGATATATATGAAAATAATTGTTTTGTTTACTTACCGGTTATTATGTACCTACTAATAATTAAGTTTTCGAAACGTTCTCTTTTATAGAAAATAAAGTGCTATGCAAGCAACACTCAACGAAAAAAAAAAAAATAAATAAATTAATTAAACAATATTATCATTTAATCGCGGATAAAAGGGTACTTAATATTTTTTTTGTTTTATCCTGAAATCAAAACTAAAACAGATAATTAAAATAAATCAGACTATGGTACAAACTGCAAAAATATGAAAAATTTTGGGACATTTTGCGCATTTTTATTTTTTCTAAAGGGCCCCACTCACCTCGTTATTCTCCGCCGTTTTTAACCGACGCACTATGGGTAAATATTGGCAAAAAGTCGGTCAAAATTATTTTCAGGCTTTATTCAAATAAAAACACCATTTAATGCAATAAAAGCAATATATTAATATTTTTTGAGTAAGTAGGTTCACATAATTTGCATTAAAAACATATTTATTCTGACTCACAGTCATTAGGGTTCATTTCTACTTCACTTGTTGAACTAAGAGGTTCTGCCACCAAAAGATTGAGTATTTCTTTTGAAAAGGGAGTCTTCTACAGCTGCTGAGAAGTGGATCGGAGGTCAGCAATAACTTGTTTAATATGTCCTTGTTGCATAGCTCTCTAGAACATTTCCGTGCATAATTGATTCGATATTGACGGAAATGTTTATTTCTGGCCTCCGCAGCTTCTTCAGGTGACCTATAGGTACTATTGCATAGGAAATTACAGCGGTACCGCATAAGTACTTTGTGGATAGTTGGAGACATAGGATGCCAACCGTATAGGTCAACATACAACCGAGCTGTGGTTTTGGCGTACTTATCAAATTTGTCCGTGTCAATTTCAAATCCACTTGATAACGTTTCAAGTACTTTTTTGAATTTTTTTATCAATTCTTTACTTATTCCTGTTATCTCTGAAGCAATCTCAGGATTCTTAAAAAACCTTCTAGATGTATTCACATCATTCGTATTACCGAACCCAGCTTTGGGAATATCGACATTCGCTCCTTGAAATCCTTTTGTATTTTTTTTCTGTCCTTGACTGCTTTTTTATCTTCTGCACTTCTTGCTTGCCATTTTTTTAATGGTAATTTGTATGATAAATGCAAGAGACCCTCAAAAAAACGTATTCTGGCATGAAGAATAGACAAACCAAACTTTAGCGATTCAGTGTTTATTACTTGTGTAGTATCTTGCAGTTTGTTGAAATCTTTGGATGTCAGTCCACATATGTAACATCTCATCGTGGAAGCAGTATTTGTGGCAGCATTACAAATTTTACCATCCACCATTGTGGGCAATAAGGTATACTAATATAATAAGGTATACTTTTACACCTGTATTGCAAATTGTTGGAACTAAATTTTTCGTTTGTTCTTCTATGTAACGTCTTTATCTTCATGGACGAATAAGCTTACAAAATCTTACAGAGGAGGGCATGGGGTTTTGCCATATTATTTTCTTTTGATCACCAGCAATTAGTCTAATAGGAACCAGCGAACTTTGAAAAATATTTGCATCACTATCAGTAATATTTTCAAATTTTTGTTTGAATTAAGTTTGCTGCGATCCATCACATCCCCATTTTACTATAAGTTTCATACTTTGCTTTTCGTTATCTGTACAGGTTGATATGACTTCTTTGGAATACTCGCATATGCGTAAAGTAGTGTGATCAAGTAACGCCTGTAGTTGAACATCTGCACATGTTTCAGTTACACGTGTCGCGCTTTCAAGTGGATAACAAGCCTTTTTTGCTTCTTTCACTTTGGAGTAACTAGGGTAAATAGTTGTGTTGAACCCGTATATAAACTACCATTGCCTTTTTGTGAAGCCACCTTTAACAAAAATAGATATAGCTTCCTCAGGAGAATAGTACTTAATCAATCCAAGGTGCTTTTGTGAAGTAGTTATTGCTTTACGATATTTTTTTGCCCTTGTAGGAGATGAAGTATTTTCTTTGATTATGTTTGAGGCCTCTGTATTACCAGTTGCTCGTTGACTTACACTACTAGCAGCAAAAGCCAACTGTTCCACAGGTATGTGCCCTCGGAAATCCATGGTTTTTCGTCGTTTATTGCGATCACTTAATTCTTGAAATTCCTTCTGTGGTCGTCCTCTTTTGTGGGGAGCCCAAACAGGAAAGGATAAACATCCCGCCAGTCATTTTATATTATTTTTGATGAAACGCGAGTGATTATAGTTGGACGCTATCCATCTTCTCTTAAAATGTTTGAAAGAATGAAATAATATGGATTTAATTTTTCATCGTAATTAGTACCAACAAAGGATTGCATTGTATCATACAAAGCACTCCTGATGAATTCAATAACTTTCCCTGTAACAAAAAAAACTTCATTCAATCTAAAATAAGTTCATTGTTAAATATTTTTAGCACTGCATGAACTAAAATATTATTAAAACAAAATGATGGAAAAAAGTGGAGAGATTGTATTCAGTATGTGTTAAAGGACTATTTATACTTTCCATATTTTTATAAATCTTTGCCTGACTACACACGACACATAAACTTTTAGGCCTTTATAATTAAAATTATCCTTAAAAAACACTTTTTTCATATTTTTCTGTTGAATTCTAAACAAATGACTATTAAAGTAATAGTGAGATATTAATGCTTTAAAACAGAGTACATACCTTCTTTTTCCATAATCCAAATCAATTTTGCTGCAGTTGACAAAAACTCACTTCTATTAACTTCAAAACAAACACGAAAAATTAGTATAGTTGAAAATAGCGACATGCGATTTACACAATGATTGTACGCAACTGCTTGTAAGCGAGACAACACACAATCAAGGTTGGTGGGGGGTCGGATCTACGGTACGGTTGTTCGGTTACAAAAAAAAATCGGTTTGGGAGCTGTAGTGCCAAATTTCAGAAATCGACTTTTGACCGATTTTTTACCATTATTTACCCATAGTGCGACGGTTAAAAACGTTGAAAGGAAGAACGTTGACTGATATGTCCACACACAACAGTTTTTTTCGCGCCAGTTTATCACGATGGACCGTACGCGCTTGTTAGCAGTGGCAGCGGTTTTGGCAGTGGAAAAAATCGCGAAAAAAGAAAATCTCGAAGAAAATGGACTAAAGACTGGCTACTTAAACGCAGTACACTGTCACATACAAATTTACTGGAGGAGCTAAGATTGGAGCCTGGTGATTGGCACAATTACTTGAAGATGGACGAGGATACGTATCGGAAACTGTTAAAACTAGTAACACCGTTAATTGAGAGACCTAATACCCATTTACGTGAATGCATCAGTCCTCACGAACGCCTAACAGTTACTCTGCTGTTTCTGGTCACTGGCCGCAGCTACGAGGATTTGAAGTTTTCTAGTATTATTTCACCTCAGGCACTAGGACGTATAAAATACCCGAAACCTACCTATGTGTTATTCTGATGTATAAGCTACATTATTGTAAAATTTCATGAAAATCCATTTAGTAGTTTTTGCGTGAAAGAGTAACAACATACATACATCAGAATGTTCTACATCGGCATCTCCAACATTATTTTCATCTGCATCGTCTACCAGAGGTGCGGTTTGTACGTATCCTCCGACCCAGTACCAGATTTCAAAGAATATTTCACCTTTTTCAATTCCTTTCGGAATGCACCCCGTAGGGAATAAATTTTTTGTTTTAGTGATTTAACTGTTCTACCAGCATCCACTTCTTTGTATTTCACCAGTAATGCTTCATACGCCTTGTTTTTCTTGATTCGGTCATGGTATTCCGCCGATTTAACTTTCCTCACGCAAGTAAATGATCTATAAAACTCGATAAACTCTAATAAAAAGTATCTGTTCCACTGCCTAATATCCGACATTTTTATTATAACCAGTTGTAAATAATAATAAACAACACAAACATGCTGAACGTCACTGTCACTGATAACTGGCCGACCAGTCAAACTGTTGAGAACACACACCTCGTGTTTACTCGAACGGTTGGCACGATAACCGACAAAAATCAAGCCTCGTCTGAAATTTTGGAACGACGAGCATAAACGACGTTTTTGCACATACACCTCGTTTTTGTGACATTTTTACCCTTACGTTTTTAACCGTCGGTTAAAAACGGCGGAGAAGAACGAGGTGAGTGGGGCCCTTAAAGGATTTAAATTGTTTTGGTATTAATTTTTATGTTTAGGTTTTTTATATTTTTATTCGACATATATGTAATGTTACATTGTATATATAATATTTTTGGATAAATAAATTATACAAAATGTGAGGACAAAAGGTGTCGCAAGCGTCACGGCTGGCTATCTTAACCTTGTTGTTGGTTGTCACCGTCACAATCTGTCAGTCGTAGGTGCACAATGCCAATCACAAGTTCCCAACTAGAATACATTATTAAATAAAAAACATTAGAAACTTTAAAATTATAGTCAAAATTAGTGTTTGGACAGGGGCGTGACATTCAGAAGGGATAAAGTTGTTACTTACCCATACCGTATGCCACTGGCAAAGTTTATTTAACTGATTTTTCTACAGGTTAGGTGAATTTTATAGCACCAAATACGTTTGTCGAATGTAGTAAATGTATAGTGACTAATAATAAAATTAGGCTGTTATTAATTTTTAAATTTTAAACTTTAATACCCTGTATTTCGGAAACGAAAAACATTTTGCCTAAGCATGTTTCGTTTAATCGTCTCATTTGGAAGTAGAGAATCGTCAGTTCTATGTCCCATTCTTAATGGGACTCCCTTTATGAATATTGAAAAATGTATTAATTTTATTTCTTGAAAATATTTGTTTACGAATAATTTAGCCTATTATAACATGCTCAAATCTAAATTGGTATTTCTTTGGACTTCCGACATACTTTTTAAGTAAATACGATATTAGTACCTATAACATATCGCGGGTGTCATGTGCAACCCTAATTTTTGACAAAAATTAGATTTTCATTAAATTATCGTGATTACCCATATGCATCTTTATGTCTTATACGAACTTTGTATTAAACACATAGCAGTTTTTGGCTTCTCCTGTACAATCTGATTTTTGTTTTTAAAAGGTATTAGTAGAATGATACCGGCGATATATCTTGTCCAGTGAGGTGGTGTCCTTGAATATTACAGATCAGTGCCTGATATTTATATTTATAAAATGTTACAGAGAGTAGCACAAATAAATCATTTTTATTAGATACTACCATCGAACATAATTAAAAATCCATGCAAATACATACCTCACTTTTCGATAGTGTAGTAAATACTTAGATGGAACATGAATATATTAACCTGTCAAACGATTGACTAATCATCTAATGACCAGATCTTTATATTACATACAAAATTGATGTTGAAGCACGAAACATCCTATGTACCGTCTATCTATTTAATGGTCAAACAGATACATTATTTACCGACGACCTCTGATGAATTTTTTAGAACTATGCTCAATTTTGGCCCATAATATTCATTTTTTTTTTATATGCGCTCTGATCGAAGTTCAAAGACCTATAATAATTGTTTTAAATATATTGTAATGGTTCCACCCTGGAAAGGTTGAACTATTCCAATATTATTTTTAGAGTTGTGGCTCGAAAGTACGCCGGCCATATCTTAGGAACCGTTTATCGTACAGATCTGAGATTTTTTTGGCAAAATTGTTCCATAGAAATCGCTGGAAATTATTTTCCAGTCCCTAACTTTGTCGCTATGGACGTAATGGGCGTGGCCAATTTAGGTAGTATGTTAAAAATATGAAAATCATAATCTGCGAAATTTTACTCAATTTTAACTACTCATTTATCATTGGTCATAAGCATTACGTCATCTAATGCGAAATTAAAGACTTAAAAATAAATTCAAGCGATTCCTCCTGACCACTTTTATTTTGAATTTTTTTTTTCCAAAATTTTATGACGCATAATTTCTGAGATACGGACTTTTCCTATATTCGTTGATATCCTACTTCATTTCTTATTTGGACTGGACACCCGGTACAAATTCATAGCAAAGACTGACTCACGAACTTAATATTAATTACAAATTCTATACAATCAAGTATGAAGTGAATCATAGCGATAAAGGAAATGAATATCGTAAGAATGCGAACGACAACAAATTGATAATTTTCATTACAATGAAAATATTATCTGTTCTGAAAATAATCTTAATAATCCAGTTAATTTAGCTGATTATTTAACCCTTGGGTAGTGACGTGCGAAGTTGTCGCATAAACTGTGACGTCGGTCTGAGAGACCAAAAAATGTTTATGGGTATAATAACGTCAAATTCTTAAAACATATTTAAGATTTATTAAATAAAACTATGTAATTTATGAAAGGATCTTATATTAAGCAATTTAAATAAGTAAACCTTAACATAACTAAAACCGAAATACATAATGAAATATATAAATTATAAAAGTATAACAACAAGTACTTATTTATTGTTCTTGTGTATTTTGTAACTCATAACACCTTGCACATGTAACTGACACATGTTCCATGCATAAAAATTGTTTGCACCTTTTACAGCAATATTTCGTCTTTCTTTTTTTTTAAACCCGCAAGGCACACATCTTCCCAACATGTTTCGTCGTTCTTCATATGGTTCCTGTGGTGGTTGTATCCCACATATTTCACAAATTCTAAGGCGTATCAATTTAGGCAAATAGTTAGAATTGGCACGTACTCTTAGATGACCATCAATTAAACTAAGAGCTAAATTTTCAAGAAAATGCCTTCTTACAATTTTTTCTTTTTTATTGATGGAATATATTACCTGTGAATTTATGCCAGAAATATTTAATAAGCTATAAAAAACAGCCATTTTCCACCTTCTTGTGGTTCTTGCACAGTTGTAATTCGATGAAAGTTGATCTACGGTATCTACTCCACTTTTGGTCCCATTGTAATCCATAATTATTTCTGGCTTGCCTGTTTGCAAATTAATCTGGTCGTCATCATGACAGGTCGAAATAAGAAGGACGTTCTCATTTTTTTTTGGAATGTAAGAAACGAGAGTGCAATCTTGCCTGAATCCGAACATACTGGAACCAATGGATCGGTTATTTTTTTGAACAAATTCAGGAGGAAGTTCCCTTTTATTCGCTCGGATCGTTCCTATAGTTGTTAATCCCTTACTGAGTAGTTCTTTTGCTAATTCAATACTGGTGAACCATCTATCGGTTGTAACATTTCTATTACTACCATATATTGGTTCAGTCAACCTTTTAACCACCGACATTGCGCTGTTACTCTGAGCAAAGGGCCCTTCAGGTTGATTACCAACATAAACTTCTAGATTATAAGTGTAGAATAACTTTGCGTCGCATAACGCAAAAATCTTAATTCCATACTTACTGGGTTTTAGAGGCATATATTGCCGAAAGCCACACCTACCACGAAATGCTTCCAGTTTTTCATCAACAGTGACCTGTTGTGATAAATTAAAGTTTTTCTTGCAATTTGTCACAAACTGTTCGAAGAGTTCTCTTATTTTAGCCAATTTATCTAATTCTTGTCTGGCTTCTCTAGTTACAACGTCATCGAATCGAATAAAACGCAGGATTATACGAAAACGTTGCAACGACATTGTCATTCGATAAATGTCTGGAGAGCTACCGTTGGTTCTAAATAGGTTTTCCGCGTTTGTGTGGTTACTTTTAGCAACTCCAGAAAAAATCAGCAAGCCCAAAAGGGCTTCAATCTCTAACTTGTCTGTAGGTCTTGTATAGGTTGCTCGATTATAGTCATCAGCTACCGATTGCAAATATTCATTTGTATGAAATATTATCAAATTTATCATTTCGTCATCAAAAAACTGCCTCCATATTTTCAGAGTATTTCTAGTTCTCGTAGGTCAGGCTTTACAGAAGGCAGCTTCATTCTGACAATATTTTTAGCCCTTGTTCTAACATTCTTCGGAGGTTTGTTTTTTTTCCAAACTGTTTTTTGTCTTTCCCAATAAAATGTGGTTCCAATCTTACTTCTAGGTCGTCGTCGACTTCAAACTCCTGCTCTGTATCAGAACTTTCGGCATTTGTCTCAAGTTGGTCCTCTACATTCTCTTCAACTTCATCGTCATATACCAAGGGACCAGATTCGTCATTCAATGCCTCTTCCATAAGCATCTCCAACCGTCTTTGTTCTTGCTCATAGTTTTCCATCTTTCTAAAATATTAAATAAACACATAAACTAGTGCCCTAACAATCAAATTCTAATAAATTCTTACCTGCAAAATAGATGATCACTTTTCCTAATATACTTTTTTATAACACAAACAGTGACGTTGGTGTAAGAGACCGATATCTCTCCTAGAGCGAAACGTAAAAAACGCACAAAGTGACCAGTCCGCGTGAACACTTGTTGCGTACTGACCGAAAGGTATATCGACGGCGACCTGCCTGCTTCTTCACCACTGCGTCACCACTGAAGGGTTAACAAAACTATATATGAAAACACTGCATGCCGCAGGATTTTCTTCAACTTCCAACAATATGTTCAACCGGGTCTCTTCGTCAATTTTTAAAAGCTTTTGTCGAAGAGCATCCCTTACATGGCCCAACTCCCAATATCTAGTTTCAATTTTTATAATCGTACCTAGATTAATTGGAGGCAATTTTTGATGGACCTCAATAAACAAACGAGCGACTTCAGCCTGTGTTCGACTAATGTTCAATAAAATTTCGATACGATGCGACTCTGTTAAATAGGACAATTTCTTAATTTTCGTTTTCAATTTACGCGTTGAAATGCAAACAAGTATGTTCTAACAAATCAATAACATTCAGTTCAAATTAACCAAGAAACCATTGAAAAGAAAAAAATTAAATATTCATGGACTATAACAACGCATTTGAATTTTCAATCTTATTTTCATGGAAACAATAATTAATAATGGTGCACAGATCAGGAACATAAAGATAAGAAACGCAACGACCGCAGGAACGGAGACGTCATCTGTGAGTCTCAGATGTTAACTAATGTTACATATCGTTTGTAGACAGACAGTAGACGTGGACAGCAGTGGACAATTTGTAAATATAAATGTCATTTAGTTGTATTTATATTGTAGAATCCTGAATTAAAATTTTAAATTTTGAGTTCAAAGTTGTGTTATTCTAGATCAGCCACACTCAACCTGCGGCCCGAAACACTATTATTGGTCGCAGCGCTAAATAGCACGCTAATTTTTAAATAAACGTTTGGAATTTTGTGGAGTTATTGCAAAAACAAGATAGCTCCACTTTTGGAATTTTCGAGTTAAGTAAGTACACTTTCTACAAGTGTGAACGAAGTCTGTATTCATGATAAACAGATAGCCACTATTAATACATTAACAATATGCACAAACAAGATGGAGTGGCATTTATACCAAAACATAATCATAACATTTTATTCAATTGCTAAGTGTGTCTACCAAAACCATATAATAGGTATATAACTTATTTCTGCTAAATATATTTAGTCCGATTCCTAATAGTGTTTCTGCCAAAACAAGATAAAGCCCAGAACCGAGGCGAAACCACCAAGGTCAAAACGTACCTGTTGAGAGTCAAAACAAATTACAATAAGTAGGTACTAAATTACTTATTTTAATAAAAACTGATTGAAATTCCAATAAAAACTAGATCTACTATATCAAAACGAAAGTTTTGATTTATCGTTTGCGTTTTTTGTTAAAATAAAAACGAAGTAGTAAAGAAATCAAATAAAAAAACAATTTAGGCAAACGTTCATTGTGGTTTCTTTACAATTTGGTTGCGTTTAAAATTATTTTAATTTTATTGTTAAAAAATGGTTTATTCCATTCCAGAACAAATTGAAATTGTAAAACTTTACTTTCAAAATAATAGTTGCGCTAGGCTTACTGCTCGGTTATTTAATAACAATCATCCCAATAAAAATGTGAACCATTCGTATGTTACCAAAATAGTCCAAAAGTTTTCCGATCTGGCTGTAATAAGAAAATTCAGATGCAGTAAGTTGTCAGAAATGAAGCTGGAGGTCGCTGTTTTGGGACACGTTGAATTGGATCATACGCAAAGTACTCGTCAACTAGTTCAAGTATCGGGTGTCTCTCGTTCATCTATAATAAGGATTTTAAAAGCTCACAAATGTCATCCTTACAAAACTAGATTAGTACAAGAACTGAACGAGGATGATCCTGATAGAAGGCTGCAGTTTTGTGAAGTAATGAGCCAGTGTTTAATTGGAGATCCTGACTTATTTAATATTTGTTTTTCCGATGAGTGTACATTTCATTTGAATTGCCGTTACTGGGATGACGGTAACCCACATTTATTCCGTGAGTATCCTACCCAACACCCTGAAAAAATAGATGTCTGGTGTGGCATATTAGGCAACCATTGAGATATTTTATGTTAATCTTCAAGCCTTAGTTGTATTGTTTTTTTTTCTGTACTGTTCACTAGTTTTTAACTTTTATGTAATGTCTTTTTAAAAATAAAAAAAGGATTGTCGAAAGTAAAACCTTGTATTTTTACATTAAAATCTTTGGAATCAACTGTGGCCTAAATACTTTCCTGCGATAGCGACATCCCAACAGGTCGATATTCCAACAAACATATTGTAGTACCACTTTTCATTCCTGGAAATTTAACTGTTGAAGCTTACCTAAACATGCTTGAAGATGAAATTGACTCTCTTATAACAGAAATATTAGAAAATGATCCAAATCATGACGTTGATCAGTTTCATTTCCAGCAAGATGGAACACCTCTGCATTATATTGATGCTGTAAGAGAATGTTTAAATAACCGGTACCCTGGACAGTGGATTGGAAGGAGAGGCTCAATTGAAGGGCCTGCAAGGTCACTGGATTTATCGCCTCTGGACTATTTTCTTTGGGGACACTTGAAAAAATGTTTTGCTACAAAGCGTAATTCCATAGAAGATCTTCGCCAACGGATAATAGCCGAGTGCAGGAGAATAACACCTGAAATTCTACAAAATGTTCGCAATAGATTTGAACAAAATTTGTATTATTGTATGAAAGCAAATGGGTCACATTTTCAACACCTGTTAAATTAACGTTTTAATAAATCTTTAAAAAATCAATTTTACAGTTTATTACTTTTTTAGGAAGTAGGTAAACTTAAAAAACTAACAAAATTGAAATATAATTTCTCATAAAAATGTGCTACTCTTGGTACTTTCTTTATCTAAATTTTAGGGGTTGTTTACACCATACTCGAGGGTCGAAGCGTCGGTGCTGAAATGCTCCAAACAAAAATCGACGTGTCCAAGCATTTTTGCTTCTAGGTGCATAATTTTCACCCTCAAGAGGGTGCTAATATCGGAATTTGACGAAACAATATTGGCATTGCTGAATTTCTTATAAAATTATCTCTAAATTCTAGGGGTTGTTCACCCCACTGCTCGAGGGTTGAAGTGTCAATGATGCAATTAGGAAAAAAATGTGTCCCCCTCCAAACAAAAATCGACGTGTCCGAGCATTTCTTCTTTAAATCTGAGGGAACCAAGAAAAGGGGGGTGGCTACTTTTCATTGGATCACACTGTATATGAAGTTTCTGACATTTGGTTTGTTAGGGATTATAATGATGTTGCAATTATATTAAGTTCGAGGGGTACCTACCGCCTTAATGCACTCAAGCGGTTTAGGTTTGTAACCAATTTTACTGCATGTCGAAGTAAATAAAAAAAAACTTGTTATTTTATTGTAGATATTATTAATTTAAAATACACATCGACAACTACAAAAATTTTAAAATATACTATCCGTAAATTTTAATCGACGCTACCCTTTTTATTTTGTTGCAACACCACTTAATGCTGAAATTTTCAGATCTTCCATTCCAGTTCTCTTATAGAAAGGTTTTATAGGGTTTGTTTTGGTTCAAACAGAACCGCAAAATTCAGTTCTCAAATACAGCTGACGAATGTAATTCACTGATTCTGAATTAGTTCGTGAAAGAACCAAAACAAGCCTATAAAGTTTTTGCGTACCCATCATAACCGTTTTCGAGATAAGCTCAATAAACGTGTAAAATCAATAATTATATCTCCAGTAGTCCTAATACATGCTATATGCCAAGTGCAGGGCCGTCGACAGCCGTGATGGGCCCCAGGGCAAAACACTGGCAAGCCCACCTCTCCCACATATTGTAATCTATTTTTATTTAAAGCTGCTGGGCCCCGGGATTTTGGCAACCTACCCCAATTCCCCCCCCCCCCCCCCCTATCGTCGGGACTGGCCAAGTGTATTAGCCTTCTTCATCGCAATTTGGAATCTCAGGCTGTTCGACAATGTCCATATTATGGCTATCATTTTCAACAATTTTTTCAGTACTTCAACTATCTTGCGTGTATTTATTTTAATAAAAATACCGTTATTTTATTTTCGTTATTTTTTTTTTAATTATCTATTTGGTTTCGATCAAAAGCAAAACCTTAATTTACTTTTCTTTTTTGTTTTCAGTTCAATTAACGGCAGTTGAGAAGAACATTGTGTACACACCAAAAGATACTTTCACGTTAGCGTGTAATGTTACTGAAGCTGCAGGAACTCCCTCAGTTGTATGGTAAGTTCTGCTTTTTAAATTTAGAAATTTTACTTGCTAGATAGAAATGATCAAAATTGTGTATTTAAAACAACGACGAAGAATTAATAGACCAATTTTGTTTACAAAAACCGAATTGCAAGGATTCACGGCGTTATCCATGCAGTTGCCAAATTATTACGAGAAAGAGAGACAAAGAGTTTAAGCACTACACGCACTATTTAATAATTTATACTTTAAAGTTTAAAACAAGTATTAGAAATTTAAAATTAAAAAAAAAAAACGACTTGAAAAGCGTGCAGATGCCATCACCACATTTTAACCAAATTTATATGGGACCACCCCTGAGGTATCCCCTTACTAACAAAAAAGAATCATATAAATTGGACAAGATCGCTAAACATACATAAAAAAATAAAGAGTGAGGATTTTCTCATGGATACAATTATTAGATTTTGACCAGATTTATATGGGACCACCCCTGAAGTGCCCCCTTTCTATCAAAAAAAGAATCATTGAAATCGGACATCGTGTTAAAGAATTATCGCTGAACATACATAAAAATACGACGAATTGAGAACCTCCTCCTTTTTTAATTCAAGCCTTCATATATTTTACTAATATACTTATATAAATTTATTCAGCGTTTCAAGCTAAATTGCACGACCGTTTCCAGTAAATAGGCTCGAGTTTCAAAACACGTTGAAACCTTATGATGTTACCGCTTCCGAGCGGGACTCGAGAAACAAAACTCCAACTGTCGCAAAACACGCTAGTCTTCAAAATGTTTACGTAATGTCGCAATTTTGTTTTTTTCGACACGAGTTTGTGTTTTGTTTTTGTTTTGTCCGTTTAGTGGAAAACCGCCATTAAAAGTTGTCCAGAAGTACATAAAAAAGTATGTTTTAATTTTAATAATTAATAGACCAAAATGAAAAACAAAATTAAATTTATAATAATGATTTGTTTATACAAACGCTGCATATTTTGCTTTTTTTCTTCTGATTTTCGCATTTCGTACTGAATTTCGTGGTTTTTTAAAAGTGGTCCTGATGTACTGAATTTATACATTTAATAATTGTTTATGGTTATAATTCGGACACTAAAATACAAAAAAGCTTTCAAAATTACATTAAGGAAGTATATTTGCATTCCTAATGCGTTATTATACGGAGTGAAACAGCCAAATGGAATAAATTCGGTAATAAATAAATGGGGGCGTGTTCGGAAAAATGCTCTAACACGTCGATTGGTTTTTTGTTTTGCATTTTTTTTAACAAAAACTTTTGTATACAGGCTGCGTCATGTAACACTGGTCAATACCAACTTTCTTATTTTAAATGTTTCATTCTTTGTATTCAGAAAATTCTAGACATATTTTATGTACTATGTCCCATACCTAACTGTTTCGGAAATATTTTAAATGTTTTACTATTGCAAAAATTAACGTTAGTAAAATAAAATAGAGATTTTACACTTTTGAGAATGTAACAAAAAAATACATCTCAGTGTGTGTTCAAAATGTTAAATTTTGCAATAAATCGGAAAACATTATTATTTCCTAAACCGGTATAGGACATAGTACGTAAAATATGTATAAAAAGTTTTTGGTTAAAAAAAATGCCAATCGACATGTCCGAGCGTTTTTCCGAACACGCCCCCATTTATTTATTACCGAATTTATTCCATTTGGCTGGTCCACACCGTATCTATTTAATGTATTTTTCGCGTTGCATGTAATTATTGTAGCTGAAAGTGATTTACAGGAAAGTCCACCATTTATTTTACAGTGCGGCAACGTGGTAAAGCAGCAATCGCAGTTATACGAACTGGTTCATTCATAAAACGCGCTAGCGCACAAACCATCCCCACTAATTTCAATAGGCGTCTCGCTCTTTCTAATGCGGCAGGTGTCTGCCTAACAAAATACGAGCTGAATTAATACTTTAGATAAATAAGAGCTTAATTATGAATGAAAAGATTAGTCTAGTAGTTTTTCGACGTTGATTTATAATGATTTTGGCGTCTTGTATTTTCAATTAATGTGAATGTATTTTTCTTTATAAATAATTAGTTTTTTTGTACAGGGCATGTAGATGACCTCGCAATGTCGCTTTAAACACTAAGTTTAAATGGAATCATATCTTCTGACTATGTTATAAATGGGAAGAAAAATTAGAATCTTTCGGTTGGATTCGAATCTTTCGATTTTAATTTCTCGATCGCAGGACGTTAAGTGCCTTGATGGTCGAGTGGTTAAGACAATGGCCTGAAAAGGCAGAGACCGCCGGTTCAGATGCGGCTGGGGCACGCGGTTTTTTTTATTTTCTTTGGTTTGTTTTCACACTGGGTTGTTTAAGAGTATACTCCTTAATTTTCTATATACATGGTGTCCCATTAGTGCGCAATTGTTCGATAAATACGAATGTATGTTATAGATACACAACACAAACAAGTTTCAAATAAAAGTTATATGGATTTGAAAAAGGCATATCTTAAAAATATTTTTGGATTTACAAGATGTTAAGTTTCTGCCTGGAAAATAAAAATGTATATTTTTTAAATGGAACATCCTGTATTTTATTTTAGTTTTGGCATGGTCTAGTAATACTATATTCAACGCTAAAATATTTTTGAAAAATATTACGTGGTATTATACATTAGGTGTCTTATCAGTCCGTATATGATCGATAGCTCTTTTATTATTGGAGATACGAAGAAATTTTTAATACAAAAGTTGTGGGACGATATTTTTTATTTTATTTTTATTTATTTACGGAAAATCTCCTTTTACAAAATAATTATTATCAGTAGATATTTTAAACCTAACCTAAAATATCACACAAAAAAACTTAAATATCTTAAATATCACAAAAAACTTAGAGCTAAAGCTAACTCGATAAGTACTCCCTCAGCTGATTTTTAAACCTAAACCGACTAACTCCCAAAAGATCACTGTGTCTGGTAATTTCATTTCCTTGCCTTTGAAATCTGGTTAAAGGACTGTTGAGTCCGTAGTTCGTATGATGGAAGCTAATTGAAAATAATGGTTTCTCTCTAATATTTATGTTTTTTAATCTAAAGTTTATTAGCTCCAACATATCCGGACAAGCTATATTCCCTTCTAGGAGGTTATAAAGAAATAAAAGATCATTACTAATTAACTTTTTCTCAACTGACAATAAGTTTAAATGGTTATTAAGCTCCCTCTTAGAAAGATAAGGCATATGTAACCTCCACTGACAAGTTCTTAGAACCCTATTTTGAACTGCTTCTAAATTTAAAATATGAGTCCGGTAATGAGGTGACCAGACTGGTGAAGCATATTAGAGTTCCTGGTCACAAATCCTAATGTTTTCAGAGCTCTACTAATGATGGATCTCATGTGTGGGACAAATGTCAAAGAACTATCGAAGATCACACCTAGATCCTTGATTTCACTAACTTTCTCCAAAACAGTAGTATTGATATTATAAAAAAAATTATAGGGATTTTTGATCTTGTGAAGGTGATTGAAAAACATTTACGTGGATTTAAAGCCCAATTAATAAAATAGTTTAAATCATCCTGTAACTTCAAAGAGTCAGGTAAGTAAGTTTAAGATTTCCATGAATAATTTCAGGTCATCGGCGAATAGTAGGAACTTACAATATTTAAATCCTGAAGCCACATGGTTAATAAATATATTAAATAGTAATGGTCCCAAATAAGATCCCTGGGGGGACACCTGAACTTACATTTATTGGAATCGAAGTAAAACTTTTAACTTTGACATATTGAACCCTGGATTGCAGGTAACTTTCTAACCATTTCACTAAGTAGTTTGGAAACCCGAATTTCACTAGTTTCCTTAAAAGCAAATCATGGTTCACCGTGTCAAATGCCTTCGAGAAGTCAGTGTAAATTGAGTCAACCTGACACCCCCTCTCGAAGGCAGAAATGATATAATGTTCGTAGAGCAGTAAATTTGTATTAGTAGACTTACCTCACATAAACCCATGCTGTTGTTCAATCAAAATGTTTTTGCAATGCCATGACAAAGGTTTATATAACAATAATTCTAATAATTTAGGTATTGCAGAAAGTAAAACTACAGGGCGATAGTTAACTATGTCATCTTTCTGACCATTTTTAAATATGGGGGTAATGAAACTATCACGCCATTTTGCAGGAAACTGTTGTAATTTCAAAGAGAAATTAAATAAAACATGTAGTGGTGGAAAGAGTGAATTTACATTTTTTCAAAAAATAAGCAGGGATTCCATCTGGACCATAACTCAATTTATCTTTTAAGGAGTTAATACCATCATAAACATCACTTAAGGAAAACTGTATAAAGGGAATATCAGGCTGGTTAAAAGCATTATAATGAAGGTTTGGCTCATCTACAATATCTTTCTTATAAAGACTGGAGAAATGCGTAGCAAACAAATTACTGATGTCTTTCCCATTATCAGCAATTTTACCATTATAATACATTCTATTGGGAATACTATGGTCTTGTTTCAAAGAATTAATGTGTTTCCAGAAGTATTTTGTATTTTCACAAACCTTCAGATCTATACCAGAAATATAATTTTCATAATTTAGTTTTGATAAATTTTTGCATTGAGACCGAAGGTTAGAAAAATTTAAGTTATCAACAGCCGAGCGAGTACTTTTGAATACAGCATGAGCTGCCTTCTTGCGAGAAATCAACTTTTTAAGTTCAGCTGAAAACCATCTTGGGTATACTGATGGTTTATATATCTCCTAACAGGTACAAATAAAGCTAATGCCAATTTTAAAATCTGATAAAAAATTTCAACACTAACATTATTATCATTATTGACTAAAATACCCTCCCAATTAATTGGAGCAAAATAATTATTTAAAGCTACATAATCCGCTTCTTTAAAGTCATAAAAAACAATGTCACAAGACAAGGGACTAATATCACTGACAGTTAATTCACATGAAATTGCAACATGGTGGAAGTTATTAGGCAATGTGTCTACAGCTGTATCGATAGTGACCGAATT